GTGCCTACAATATGCCAAGCAGTGTGCTGGCCACACTGGGATAACAGGGAGAGATTATACCTGGCACTCTGAAGGAGCTTAGAGTGAGAAGAAGTTGTTGGGAGGAGGCAGATACAGGAACAGCCAAGTGTTACGAGTGGTGTAAGGCATGTCATGGAAACACAGAGGAGTGGATTAGAAGAGCCTTAAGGCAGCAGCTTCAGAGGATGTGCTAAGTAGATGGATGCTCATCTTGGACCACTGCAGCAGGAGGGGGGTCGAAAACTAGAGCAGAAGCCTGGAAGTTTTCTTGGTCTTCAGTAAAAGCTGGTACCTACTCTAAAACTGGGAATACAAGAAGAGCAAGTTTAGGGAAAGGAAGGGTTTTACTTCAGAAATGGCCATTTTGCTTATACGGTCTTCTAGGATATTATATGTATGAAACCGAAAGTTAGCAAATGTCTGGTTACACGATACAGATTTGGTGAAGCTGTAGCATATTGCTGTTGTAGTCTGAGTACCAGCAGTGATCTTGTGTTAACACTCTATAGCCACCATCTAAATTAATCTTATGACAACCTTGTTATACTAAGGAACTATTTTTATCCTTACTTTATAGATGAGGAAACTGAAACTTAGATCTGAAAGCTAACTTTACCACCATCAAGAGCTGGGACTTGAACCCAGGCCTAAATGACTTCAAAACCATGATTGTTTAATTGTTCTCCACTTAACTCACCACCAGGACAGATACTATCTGTTCCTTCTGTAAACCCAGTCTGAGATCTACAGCCCTGCTGAATATTCAGGGCCCTAATCTGTCTACATACTTCTGCTTCCAGCAGAACCACCTTTCAGGGCAGAACTTGTCAGCTGCACTTATTATTGCAATTATTTACTTTAATAAAATATTGTATGTTCTGATGGAATATAAGTATAAAGGAAGTTGTGTCTATGAAAACAAGATAAAATGCTTTATGAAGAATCCGTAAAGACTGGTATCTCAAGAAAATTAGATGTGAGAAGGAAATGTAAAAGAGACAAACCATAAAACCCTAGAGGAATTTTGCCTTGCAAGTATCTTTTTCATCCATTTTAAAACACTATATTAATTCTATAGATTATATGCACTGGTCTGGTTTATGTAAGAAAGAGTGCATGAAACATCAGTCAGCGTACCTGGAAGCCAAACGTTTTATATGAGACTTCTGTGCGCTTGCCCAGGGTGAGCATGTTATGAGAGAAAAGAAAGGACAAAAACTTTGGAGCTCACTGCAGGCAGGTGCAAGTCTTCAAAGAGAACCGAATGATAATGTTCAAAGAAGTCGAGGGTGAATCTCAACACAACAGGATTATGCACCAGGGTTTTTGGTTGGCGAAAAAAAAAGGAATGTATTTCCATCTCTTTTTCAGCGAAGCTTTAGTTCTGTATACTGCAAGCAGCCTAGGATGGAGAAAAGAGCATGGGCTTTAAAAGATGTTAGATGTGTAGCTTCAGCAACATGTCTAATTGACCTGGGTACAGTCTCTGAGCCTCAGTTTCCTCAAATTAACATGGCATGGTAATACCTGTATCAGACAGTTTTTAAGGAATGTACAGTGTTGGGCACATAATAAGTTACCAGAAAATTACTATTCTTTTTTTACCCTTTTTAGGGGGCTATTTAAAAGAACTATTCTTGCCTCATTTAAATTGTATTTACAGGTTGGGACAAAGAACTTTCAAAAGTCTCTGTTTACTTGAAAGATACTGAATCTTTCCAGAATGAAGAGACAAAAAGAGAAGGATCCAGATAACAATGGAAATACTTTGTTGTACCAATGTTTTTTGTACAACATTGCCCATCTTCTCTGTGAATGTCAGATTCAATCCAGTTTAATTCTGAGGCCTATGAAATTCTGCTAACATATCATTCCATGTAATTTATTTTATTTGCAGATTAACCATCAAAGTAATGTCCAAGAAAAAAGAATCAGAAGAACATATATTCTAAATCTACTAAATGTAAAATTTTAACCTCTAGATATTTATGAGGGTCTGTAGCAAATGCATCATTTATTCTAAAGCCTACTTAGGATGGGGATGGTAAAAGATCAGCAAGAGAGAATGAAACAGAAAATTTCTAAACACTCTATCCAGAGCCTCCAGTAAGTAGTAAGTAGAATTAAGACAATGAAAGACACATGTTGTCCTCAGGATGCTTGAAAGTCTAATTAGAAAGAGAAAACATTACTAAATGGAAAGATGAAATGAAAGATGTAAAGAATTTTAGCAAAATTGCAGGTAATTTGGGTATCGAGGAGAGAGACTAGAGAAGTAAAAAATAAAATAATCAAAAGAATTCTGAATAACTTAAATTTATGGAGATAATTTTGATAACTCGAATGGATAACAAAGCTAGAATTATGCTTAGAAGTAAGAATTACTTATATTGTATATACCCTAAGCCTATTTTCATTATAAGGAGTGTTAAAAACTGTGACAGAATACTACCTTCTTAGCAAACGACTTTGCAGTGCATTTTCTTGATGTTCCTGAAAACTTCCTTAGCAGGTTATAAATATTACCAAGTAAATGCAGTTGCCATTCTTGGATTTCTAAAAAATATTTCTTAAGATCCTATTATATGTCAGGCCCCTTCCTAGGCACATATTTATATTCATTCCCTTAGATATGGTGAAGAGGTATCTATTTTCAAGCTGGCAAAGGAAAATCATCAAATTATTGGTTTCAACTCTTATGTTTCGAAAGTGCTACATTGTCATCAGACTTTACCTTAAGATTTTGTTGTCATTCATGTTACTCATCAAATTGATTCGATATAGAAGTGAATTTTGTACCCCTGGCGTAGGCCTTCGTAATAAAGACATGGCTTTGCTGCTAGTTAAAAACAAGCACATAGTTTTATATCTCTAAATGGAAACATTCAGCAAAGTGTCTTGAGATTGTATACCTGCCAGCCTTGCTACATTCCTGTTAACATCACTGGGATTTATAAAGTACCCATTAGTTATAAATATATATGTATTTATATATATATATTTGAGATGAATTAATTTATATATATATATATATATATATATATGAATTAATTTACAGAATATCACCAAAAAAAAAATACCAAGTCTGGAATCAGAGTCCTTTTAAGATTTGTAGGATCTAATCATACCAGCAAATGGAGGCGATCTGGAACCAACCAGCCCCTGCTGTTCAGCTACCTTCCCCTGCCAGTGCCAAAGGCACTCAGAATGGTGTTTACAGTTTAGACATATTCATACTGGTTCCTAAGGACTCCTAGGGTTCCAGGTACTGAGGAGCTATACAGGATCAAGATGGAGGCCATCTGCCTCTTTTCCTTTTGGTCAGTGTCTCTGATTATATTTGGGGGGAAAGGGAGTTCTAACTAATGTATAACCAGTTTGGAAAATCACTGCTCTGTATGAAATATCCTGTACTCCTATACACAGATGCCCCCAGAATCACAGTCTTCATGGTAATAGTCTCCATGTGGGGAAGAAGAGTCTGAGGATGCTGAGGATCCTTTGTTCGTCATGGTCAATGGCCCCCAAATTCCTTACTAGAAATTGTGTCTACTTCTGGGCACTGCAGTTTAGGAGAAATGTGGAGAACTTGGAGAGAAGTCAGAGTCCAGGCACAAAGACAATTACAGAGAATAAGACCTATGAGGAAACTAGAATTATTTTACTTTGAAAAAGAGAAGTTGGATTGGCAATTTGGTAATGATCTTCCAGAGATTAGGAATTATGGCATTGAGGATAATGACTGGATTTCCTTCATGTGCAAACAGTCAAGGAAATACAGTTTCAGCTTTAGCAAGAAGAATATAGTGTGGAACCAAAAGAAAAAGTAGCAACCAGGTGTTTAGCCTCTTTAATCAAAGGAATAGATTACCCAGTACACTATTTATGAAAATTTTTAAAGGCAATATGAATTCCTCTGTGTTATGTATTAATGTAATTCTACCTGAAAGAACAGGGGTGAATTAAATGAACTTTGTTTTCCAACCCTGTGAATCAGTGATGTATCTTTAAATTATATCATAAGGTATAGAGTTCAAACAACTATTTTGAGTTACAGTCTTACAGCCTGATGTTGCCAGGAGAGAAGCTACTTTCTAATAATGTTAAGGAAGTGAGGAGTGAGGAGGAATATTTATTCCAGGGGTCATGAACTCAGATACCTACAGGGCATGAAGCTAGCAACAGAGAATGATGGAGTTAAGGAAGCTGTCATGTATTAGAAAGTCCATGACCCACGTAAAGGGGCAGCCACTGCTGACTCTGGCCAGTTGTTATGTCATAATGTACCTATGTCCAGCAGATCTTTGGCTTTCTCAAGAAAAACTGGAAGTCTGGAATCTTAGGTGAAAAAATTTTTAACAGTGACAAAATGCTGAGATTTATCCAAGTAGTACTGTACAGGCAAAGCATACACCTGTGTTGGCTGTATGTTAGAAAACTTCGGTTTAACCTTTAGGTCACTAGTTAACCACCACATTAGTTTACAAAAAAAAAAAAAAAAAAAGCAGATCTGATTGAACCCTAAAGCTTAGGAGAATTAATCTACTCTGCCTTTGTAAGGCTTAATTAAGGTCCTTTCCAACTCTGTGAATCTTTTGATCTCCCCTTCCTCCTTCACCACTTCTCCTTATTGGATGACTTATTCATTACAGGTGGTGGGAATTTAAAGGAATTACTTATTTCTCTTAGCAACATAAGTATCAAATACTTAGATTGAAAATAACTTCTTTACCAAAGATACTGCTGAGGCTGTTAGACTTTTAGAAATGCACTTACATACAGCATAAATGTGTCACTTTGGATCTTTGAACTAATGTTTGTTTATAACATTGGCTGCATGAGGCATGCTTGACTTAAAAGCCTACTTACCCTATTACCATTTGGTGTCATAGTTTATTTCTCTTTTATAAAATATTTTAAAATAAACCACCTCCACCTGGGTAAGGACAGCTAGATTTCTGAAATCCCCTTCCTTTCAGACAGGAGACTATGCCACAGATGAAGAGGAGGATGAGGTAGGACCTATTCTTCCTGGCGGTGACATGGCCATTGAAGTCTTTGAGCTGCCTGAGAATGAGGACATGTTTTCCCCATCAGACCTGGACACAAGCAAGCTCAGTCACAAGTTCAAAGAGGTAGGTTGCTAAGCTGCAAAATATTTTTCTATAGCTGTCCATTTCATTTAATTAAGCATATACTTTTGTTTGAAAAGTGTATTAAGAATAATCATTTTTCAAAAGAAATCCTTTTAATAAAAGATTGTCTTGAATCTCATTGAATTTCAAGGCAAAAGTTAAGTAGATCTCATTCCATAATCATTAGTTTAAATGCTTATTTGTCATAGTGATAGTCTATAACTTGTCATTTCCATAATTTCAAGCTGTAGTTTAAAGGTGCAGCTTTCGTGACAAGTTGAGGTTTTATTTTTAAAATTTGATAAAAGTTTCCAGACCTGGTGATAAGCTCTCCTCGAAGGCAGTGATTTCTAAGGTTTGTTTTTTTTTCCCCAACATAGACAAGGTTCCAACAGGAATTAGATGATATACCCAAGTGGTTTAATTGAAGAAAATTTAATAAATGAACTTTGAACAGAGTTAACAGAACTACCAAGGGATGGTGCAGTACACAGGGACCGGCAGCAGCCGGAAGCTGTTACCATCCTTTGGCTTAATAGGTAAAGAGGGAAGGAGATTACCTTTTTTGAAGGAGGGCCATTCAATGTCTGCAGCTTTGTAAGATGCAGCCACTGCTAAAAACTGTAGCCTGAGGGCAAGGGTGATAATTTACCAAGACCCTTCCCTCCTGCTGCTGAGGCATGCCGTCCGCCTGACCCACCTGTCCCACCTGTCCCACGCAGGGGAGCCCGAGAGGGCAAATGCAGACAGCCACACAAACTCTTCTTCCAAATTAACTTCTCAGAACCCCAGCATGTGAAACAGCAACAGTGATGAGTGGGTCCCCAGGCATTTTATTCTTCATTGTTTTATGCAGCATCCTCCATTGTTGAAGACAAGTATGTCATTATTTACAACCTGCCCACAATAAACCTAAAGTATGGAGGCTTGAAAACCACTGTTCTGTGGTTGCAAGTCTCTTAGGGACTTGACCACTTGGAAACAGTATTCTCCTATTCATGAGAAACAAGGTTGATAATTGCAGATTTCTAATTTCTAATTTTATTTATAATTTCCAATTTTGATGTATTATAAATAGGTCAATTCTATATGTTCTGATGTTATACCTAATATGCCTAATATATTGACTTACCTTTTTAATTCCCTATGACAAATTTATATTTGTGAAACCAGTGTCAAGGTGAATGTACTTTTCAAATAAGTTTTTATTAAATAAAATAACTTATGTTCATTATAGAGTTTTGTAAAATACAGATTTCTATAAATGCCAAGACAGTACTAATTATCCCAATATTATGTTATTTGGAATTATATGGTATATATACTTTTAAATTCCTAGTCTTGATACTTAAAATTGTATTATTAGGATTTTCCCATGTCATCAAATATGTTTCTATAAATAATACTTATTCACTGTTTCATCTTATGGAGCTTTTATAATTTACTTAATTCCTGTTTTGGAACATTTCCTTTGTTTCCATGTCTTTTTAAATTATTAAAAATAATATTGCAGTAAATATCAAAACAAATTCTCTTAGTAACTATTAGATCAAAAAATATGAATATTCTGGGGACTTGTACTTAATGGCACATTGCCACCAGAATGGCTTTTCTTGGTGATATAGAAATTTATGTCACCTAGTGTGTTGAGAGTGCCCATTTCTCTTCCATGTATTATTATTAGTCATGTTGAACCATTTCCATTTATATAGTTCATAGAGTCCTTGAGGCAAAACACATGGGTTTTTCATATGATTTATGATTATTCCTCATTCTAAATCAGATACAAACATCTTGGTGGCAATGAAGTACACTATTATTTAATGGTCAGAGTTCCCTTACAGTAGAAGTAGCAATGCATTAGGACCACTTCTTTAAAAGACTTTCTAGATTAACTGATATTTTCAAAGAGCAATTCAGAAAAAGAAAGTTCTTCTGCAGGAAGTGGCTGGTGGGAAGAAGTGGTGTAATCTAGGTACCTGTTTCTCTGCGGCTCTGATTTGGCCCAAGAATACATACTATCTAGAAGAGTAGATGAACTGTTTGTTCTTTAAGAAATCTTCCTTGAATATTAAAACTCTCAATCCAGCTTTGAGGGAGTGAGGACAAGGTTGTATACCCTGGCAGAATCATATTATGTAGCTCTTCCTTGTTGCCAGGTTAAGTATGACCTCCACTCCTTGGTAGATAATTGAGCGGGAAGGATGGTACACATTCTTTTATGGAAGCTAAAGAACCCCCAAAGCAGAAATAGTATATGGAAGGTTATATCCTCCATTTTCTGAATTGAGCCAAGAACTCAGTTCTCCATAAATAATTGTTTCAGGGGGGACACCATTATGTAGGTAGCTGCATGATCTAGACCAGGGGTTGGCAAACTATGGCCCACTGGCCAAATCTGGCCTACTGCCCTTTTTTTGGGTAAACAAAGTTTTATTCACACATAGCCATGGACATCCATTTATTTATTGTTTGTGGCTTCTTTCATGCTACAGCAGTAGAGTAGTTGCACAGAGATCATATGGCCTCCAAATCCTAAATTATTTGCTGTCTAGTCTTTCACAGTAAATGGTTGCTGACCTTGGTACAGGCTGCTGCATGATCTGGACCCTTTCTGTATATCATTTCTCATTGCTTTTTAGCCTGAGTAACCAAATCTGTTGTTTTAATTTTGGCTTTTAAGAACTGACAGTTTGTCACCATCTCTAAAGCAGGTAAATACCACACCATTTCTCTTCTAATTCTTTTATTCTCCTTTATTTTGTATTTAGCATATGAATATATTCATTTCTTTAGGAGATTGCCATTGCTTATCAACTGTGTGGCACTCTGTCACAGCATTTATATCTTGTACTCTGTCACCATCAGTGTACAAGCAATTTGTTGATGTGATTAGCATACATGCCTGGTTACTGTACAGTACTAGATATTTTTCACAGGATTATGCACAAAACCTGAAGTGGAAGTGGAAAATGATTTTGTGTTGGACTGTGTAGAAAGTCTTGTATTACAGAGGCTTCTCATAAATACCTTATTTCAAGTAAAAGTACTTGTTATACTATTATGATACTATACTATACTATAAAGATACTATTATGTATCTTCATATTTTATGTAGCTACTAGACTCTAAGCTCTTCTGTATTTGCTGAGTATTGTATCCATGGGCTGCACAGTTCTTGGAATACAGTTAGTAGTTAAATCTTTGGTGAGTGAATGGTATCAAGCATATCCTGGAATTTGTTGTATAATACAAGCCAGCTACCTAATTTAATTTTCCCAAGTGGTTGCCAAGATGGCTAACGCTTTTATTAAATGCTCATTTACCCCTTCCGTCTGGTTGAGGTGGCGTTATTACCTACAGTATTTGTGCCTTTACACTCTGGACTGCGTCTGGCCTTCATATTCTGTTCCTTTTCTCTTTCTTTGGTGCAGTATTGTTAGAATATATATAAAACATTGGTGGAATAAATCAGATCCTTCTAACTCTTCTCTTCAGAAACTCCTTTACTTTTCAACTTGTTCAAGAAAACATTTGAATCACTTTAATTCCCTGAAAAAAAGTATTTGCATTTTTGTAATTACATTAAACTAGTACATTAACTTGCAGAAAACTGGCATTTTTATCACATTGACTCATAATATGAGTTTATGGAATATATCTGTTTAATTCAAGTCTTTTTTTCTGACCCTCTCTAAAATTTTATAATCCCCTCTATTATATGTGTTCACCTATAAGTAATAGGAAATCTTAACTAGAGTGGATTAATCAAGAGCTGCCACAAAGGTTATATTAGTTCCAATATAAGTAAAGAAGTTTCGTCTATTTTTTGATTTTTAGGAATGACTTATAAAAGAGACTTAATGACTTGCTTAAAATCAAAATCTCTATTCCCTGAAAGTTTATTATCACTCAGCTTAAAAACATCTGCACCTTTGTGGAGGAAGATTTTAAATACTTTTTGATAGCTATTACTCTTTCCAAGTTTTTAAGTTTATCTTGGGCCAATTTTGGTATTTCGCATTTCTCAAGAAATTTATTTCCTCTAGGCATTCATATTTATTAACTTATATTTTTGATACAGTTTTTAAATACTGAAATCTTTAATATCTATAGTTACCTTTTTATTCTTTTCCTTGAGTATTTTCAATTTTTTCTTGTGTTTTCTAGAATTTTTATGTATCATGTTAGCTTTCATTTCTGTTTTTTCTTTTTAAATTAAAAATACTTATTTTATTATTTCCTACCAATATCTTTATTTTTCCCCCCTTTTTCTTTTTTGGTATTAATCAGTTACACTTAGTACATTTATTTTTGATAACTTTTGCATTCTGATAAGTGTATTTAAAGCTATAATTTTTTCTGAATATTGCTTTAGCTACATGTCACAATTTTTTACATTTAGAATGCCACTGCCAAAACTTCTTTGGGGATTCCCTCTTTAACACAAGGATTATTTAGTGGTGTATTTTACTTTCCAAACATATCAACTTAATTTTGCTGTCCTTTTGAACACTCTGTTCAGAAAACATATGGTAGCTATTTAGAATTCTCATGACTTCTTTTGTAGCTTAATTCATAAACAGTTGTATTTAAATATCCCTCATGTATGCAAAAAGCACAGGTATTCTGTGCTTGGGTATGAAATTTCTGTGAGTGTTAAATTTATATAAAAAAGACTAATAATACAAACACACATGTCTTCTCTGTAGCATGGTTTAGATGTTGTCTGCTTGATACACTAATTCTGAAAAGCATGTGTTAAAATGGGAAGCTACAGTTATTCCTTTCTTCCTATAATTCTGTCAGTTGTAGTTTTATATATTTTAAATCTTTGTTATTACCTGCATATATGTTCAGGATTATTACAACTTCTTGATTTATTGTAACATCTCTCTTGTTCCTTAGGATGCATTTACTCTAAATTCTGTTTTGTCTGATAGTAAAAATTCAACACTGGCTTTCTTTTGCTTCACGTTTGCTTCACAGCATCTATTTCT